TACACCGCTGCGTCCAGCTTCATATTAACTCTTCTTGTTAGAGTTAAGACATTCGACATGTATTGAATGAAAAAAGAAGTTCCTTAACACTAGCTGAGCATTCAGCGTTTACTCATAAATTTAATCAAAAATAACATTAATTATTCTTCAAAATAAAAACCATCATTATCCACGATCTCCTGCTAACGATCTGTAAGCTTCCGGACCGGCTCGAAATACCATTCTCTTGGATTTGAATCAAAAAGCTTCTGACATGCCTTTTCAACTTGATCAAATGTCTCGAACCGGTGGCCACAAAGGAGATGTTCAATTGAGCGTAAAAGACCATAATGGGACGGCGTAGCTTCTGGACTCCAAGCTGGGTGTGACAATACCTCGAATCCTTCCAGTTCATCGAACTTCTCCTTAGTCTTCTTTGTGGTTTAAGGTGATAGCATTGTCTCGCTTTGACGAATCAACGTCAGGTACATTTCTTTCAACTCATCGTAAACTCGATCCAGCTACTCGCAGAAGAGTTCGCCATTGATGGTGCGACCATTCGGCACAAGTTCGAAATGCAAGACACCTTCAAAATGTCACCAAAAGCAGATCATGACCTTTATGCCAAACGGATTTCGACATGCAACTGATGGCGGAGTTTGACCTTCTGTTACCCGAAAAGTAAACCAAAATTTAGTGAATTATAAATAGCGTTGCGCTGGCGTTTTTATGAAACGTTCTTGACTTTTTTTAATGAATTTATAATAATCACCACTGTGTGAAACATACAGAAAATCCAAATTCTTCGCGAATGTTGAGGAACTTTTTCCTTAACTTAGTATTTCTAACGTCACACCACCCTGAAAGTGGTGAGCTAGAATATAATTCTAATTGATTATATATATATATATATACATGCGCACATATCTGTGCATATATATATGTATATATATATATATATATATATATATATATATATCACATGGGGGCGACATGCGAGTGGTTGTGATGCTCATCGCGGCGCGCGTGGAGCTGAGCTCCACCCCCGAAATTCTCTTCGGCAGCAACAACGCCTTATAGAACGCCACTGCAAGGCTATCCTCGAGATTGCAAGGAGACTCGGTCAACCAGTATTGGTGTTCTAGGACGTTAAAGAAAGCAAAAAGACGAATTGAATGCTAAAAGCACTGGGATTAGCACAGTGGAAAAAACTGTGAAGACGAACCAATAAAGTGCCTAAAATAAAAAACTTATATGGATATATAAATGTACATGTATACATGTACTTACATATATACATACATTTATATACATATACACGTGTATGCATATATATGTATACATACGTATATGCATATATATATATATATATATATATATATATATGAGCCCATGTGGCGCCGTGGTTAGAGGTGCTACACGCAGCACGCAAGGTCGCTGTTCAACGTCGAGCTCATGACTCGTCAAGCCATCTATCTCTCCGAGGTCGGTAAATTTGTTCTAAACTGCTCGCAGACTTGTCTGGGAGGATAGGCAGACTGACTCGATGCAGCAGTAGGCCAGCGCGAGTCATTGTTAACGCCAGATATCCATTCAATCACCTCAAACGAAGTTGAGAATTGAAAACGAATGCATGGCGCATCGCTCAGGGATATGTGTCAGTACAACTGAGTTAAATGCTGATATGTGTTTGACAGGCTAAATCGTTGACAGATCGATGTCTCGTATCGCAGAAAGAGTAATGACAGAACAAGAGCATCGCTAGTGAGACTGGGACAGCACACGCGTGGGAAAGGGTGAGATGCGAGGTCGATTCCTGCCTAACGTGCAAAGCTCTACATTATCACTCAGCGTCATTGGATATGCATTAATATCATACCACCGCTAAGACCGGTTAGATAAAAGTGAGTTTTGCTTTTGTGAATCAAACTTAAAAAATTTGAAGACTATTTGAACTTCGCAAATGGACCACACTTAACTCTTTATTTCAAAAATCTCCTTACCTGGAATCCATGGGCGAAACCATCAGGTATCCAAAGGGAGTCGCCATTCATTTCATTGAGAATGACACTATGCCATTGTCCATACGTAGCACTTTCGGGCCGAATATCTACGGCTACGTCAAAAATCTCGCCGGAAATCTTTAATCACGTTTGCTGTGATTGGTACCAAGACTAATTTTTGCATACTTTAACTAATCCATGCTTTTAACTGAGAAAAGATAGAAATAACTCACCACCGATACAAGTTTTCCCATGCCTGGTTGTGAGTGAAGACCTCTTAGTACTCCATGAAACGAAAATGAGTGGTTGTCCTGCATTCCAATGTTACATTATGGGTTGTTGTATGCATTACAAAGAATATTACTTGTTTGAAGTCTTTTCTGAAGTTAAGTTCCTCAGACCACTCGGCTTCGTTATAGGTTTCTACGAAGTAACCGCGATTGTCGTGGAATATCTGCACTATAGAAAGTTGGAAAGCCAAATTTTCAGGTCCAAATTTTGTTAAGAACAACCTTTTTACTGATTATTTTGAGATCTGGAAATTCTTCAACACTTTTGATTGCAGTCTTCACTCGCTTCTGTTGAGACATCCTGACCTGATCTGATGTGACATACTGTACGACTGCGGCATTCGCAAAAATGACCAATAAGAAAGGCACAAGGAATGAATGTGACCCGAAAATGATTTTATCAAGTAAACTTATGGAATTGAAACTCGATGTTTTAGCTGTGAGAAATTATTTCTTCCCACAGTACAAAAATCTAGCAAAATTTTAATTTTTAGGAACTGAATATGAATTCTATGGCTTTCATGAAGGAGGCAAAATCTTGAAGTAGCAGTTCAAGCAACAGGTGAACTGTTCGGAGACCTTTGCGGAAGATGAATGCTAATAAACGAATCGAATGTTAGAAGTGCTAGAATCCGCGCAGTAAGTTGTAAAACGGTTCGCATCCTTTATAAATTTTTCTACACTTTTTTCGATTTTTTTTTCACTGATGAAAAGAGGGTATTTAGCAAGAAAACCTATAAAACATGAGCATAACCCTAATTTTCCAATTTGCTAATTTATTAGCGTGGTGAAGGAAATTTTGAAGTTTTCTTCACAAAACAAAACAAATATGTTTTGTCATAGTATCTGATTTCCTAAGCTTCAGTAGTTTACGATTTTTTATTCGTTACAGAATAATGGAAACAACGGGCACGATTTTGGAAATCAAACAAGAGAAATCATACCAGTGCTTGCTCGAAGATTCTATATAATTGAAGCGATAAATACAATGAGATCAAATCACAAGTAACATCTTAGGTGTTGCTTGCACGCACTTTTTGAATGGACTAGATTTTTACTAGAGCTGATGTTGACAGAAGTCTATCGTGGTCCTTCAATGTTACTTCATGTTGGCTATTCAAAAATTGACACATGATGGAACGTGACAACCGTTCAATGAACAGTCAGAATGACTACTAAAGAGAAAGTTGCTCATAGCTGACATACACGTAAGAGCAAATGACCTGACTAGGACAGTGACAAGGGCGTTGTTCACATCTATCCGCATGTGTTATGTCCTTGACCCATACTATTTAGATCGAACCAAGTGTTGAAGAAAGAAGAAACGAAGAGGAGAAATCCGATTCCGGAAGGCCAATTTCATCTCATAAAATTCTCTCGATTCATTTTTAGCAACAAAACTCATTTTACTCAGATAAAAAGCACTTCGAGCAAAATTGTTTCGAACGCTATAGCGAATTTCTGCCATCTAGTGACTTTAATAACTTCATTAAAATGTCTCTGATATAATTAGATGTCTCTTGTGACTGTTAAGAGAACACAGGTTAAACTTATACTTTTCATTTCATCTCTTGTGAATCTTAAAACAAATATAAGAAAACGCAGTAAACAACGTTCACAATCACATCATGAGAATACATGGCTTTAATATCTCAGGACAACAAGCATCCATTTTCACAACTCTTCAATATATGGTAAGCTTCGTGAAGATAAATGTTAGTTAAAAGGGAGCTCAGAATTACTGAAAAAAAACTTTTCAGAAAGTGATTGAAAGTTTAAGTATAGCTTAACGCTAAGTGAACCGCTCCCCAACGTAATTCTGCCTGGTTACACATACCTTTTGATCGCATAGTTCCAGCTTGACTGATTTGAAAAATGTAGTCTCAGCACACTGGCTTCAGATCTCAAATAAGCCCCAAACTGGATACTATTCCCGTGATTCTTATGCAGAATATGACATTACGTACAATCTACCTTTTGAATCATATATGCGTTTAGCACTATTATTAAAATAAATATCAAAATGAACATCAGTAAATACATCATAAGTAACTTCAACAGTGACATTATAAAAACACTTTTACACAAATAATGTTGTTGTGGTTGATTAACTCCTACTAAAACGCTGCGATATAAAGAAAACTTGAAACCTAATGGACATGGGTCCGAACGTGTGATTACCGTTCTCGTAGGTTCACATATTACACACTGCGCCGCCGAGGTCCTAGCTGTGCTCTTCTTTCTGTCGGGATGCCAGTATATCAGGAAGCAAGCTGATGACCCACCCGCTCTTTACTTTTCACATGTGGACGAACAGCTTGGCTCGGTCATCACTGCGTATCCAGGAAGATTCAACTCGACTACCATTCTGCGACATTCATAAAGAAAACGGATCCTCAAGCAGCATTTTAAACAACATGCGGAATGTTTGAAAACAGCTGCGGAAGACAAGTGCGAGGAAACAACTAAAATGTAAGAAATTCTGGCATCTACACAGCAGGCCGTGTAGGGAAAATATATCACTTATTACCGCAGAAAAACTAGAGCCAACACTATCGAGTAATCCAAATCATGAAGTTTTCAAGATTCAAATTAGCTTGAAAGGATTTCTAATAGATAACTTATTGTGATACGTGATACTCGAAATTTCTAGTATTTTCATTGCATTTTTCGCAGTGTTATGAAGTTTCATATAAACCTAAGAGAATTGAGTGGTGAGCGAAAATACCACCTCAGGCGGGAGGAGTTGAACCCGCGTTCCATCCATACCGAGGACGCGTGCTGCCACTACACTTCCGAGGCACATTAGCGCCACCACTCAGTTCTCTTAATTATATATGAAATAACTTATTGTTATAAATGCTAATACTCTCCATTCAAAAATACGGATCATTTGCGCTACCGGCCCCAAATCCAGCTGTCGTCACTAAAAAATAACTTTTCCATGAGCTCTGGAACTTGGACCGAATGACAGAAAGTGTCAAATACTACTGGTAAGCCATATGGACTGATCATAGTTTTGCATTCAATGTCCTAACAAACTTCGTCTTCCAGCTAACTAGTCTCATTGAAAAGTCCAGAATAATTAAGCCAGTGTTATTCCTTCCATCTGCCTAGCCCGACAAGGATGCTACGAGAAAAACCACAAGTCTGATATGTACGTGATGGAGCCGCCCATGCTCTGCCTTTGCCTCAGCCGTGTTTTCATAGTATCGGCTTACACACAAGCCATCCATCAAAGGGACTGATCCGGGATGCACAAATCGTCGCTCGATCCATCTGAGCCGAAGCAGTAATTGAAATTCAATGTTAATTTCTACTCACAGTCTGAATCCATTTTACGGCAGGCTAGGATGATGCGAAATGTAACTACAAAGAAGCTAATATATGACCAAAAAATGGAATCAGTGTAATGGACTCGAACCGTGACTATATGCTTTCGGGGCAGCGCTCGCACACAGTACACCATTGCGGTCCTCGCTTTATCCAGTCCATTTCACACAGTCACATTGGTTGAACGAAATCAACATATTTTCAGAAATTTATTTTCGCTTTCATACAAAAGCTTTTACACTTATTTGTGATAAAAATTTAAGGCCGTTATATACACAGCATACCAGTCGATAATGATGATGAGAAAAAAATGGCACCTGTAGGTAGGTTGGTTAGAAAAAAATTGTAAACTAAATTAACAATAGATAGACTGGTGGGCTAAACTAAAATAACAATAGATCTGGTAGGTCAAATCGTAAAAAAAACTACATAAGGGTTGCGAGAGTCATTAGATATAAAGGCAATCAAAATAAAATGATTAGCATAGCAATCTGAGTATTAATCATAAAAATGTGAAACTGAATAGAATTAGAGAAACACAAATGAAGTGAAGGAAAAAAAATCAAAACTGGTCAGGGAATGATTGGGCATACATAGTGCGAAATCAATAACAAACGAGTAGAAAACTGTTTTTAGTGAAAATTTGAAAAAAAAAACAGTAAAAAGTGAGATCAAATAAAACTAGAAATATCTTTTTCACTCTTTCCATGGCTCGACGAAGCTCAGAGGAAAGAAAACCGACCTGAAAAAAGCTATAGAACAACCCAAAGAAAAGTTTTTGAAATAAGTGATTCAATAGCATACATTCAAAACAAATCTCACCCTGTCAGCTATCTGTCCTTTCCACCAGCCCCGATCTTCACCAATGACGTCGACAAGCGTCAGACGGTCACCTTTGCGTAGAGTCAGGAATTTCTCCGCAGGGGCATCATAGTCATAGATTACACGATACAACTAGGAACGAATTCACTAATTCAAAGCGATTAAATGCAGTGCACAACTAGTGAGAAGAATGCACTATCGAGCTAAGCCATTCAACCCTTTGTGGACAGCAGTTGATCAGTTTTCGCAAGCGGTACGCGATTTTCGTTATTTGATAAAAACATTTTTCTTGGTTCGGGAAAAAACTTTGGGTGTTCTTTATAAATCTGATCAAAGATAGTTTTCTCTACATGCCCATATACTTTTTGTGCAAATATGACTTTTACGTGCAAAGAAAATTTCGAGTACGAAACGTAATCTTCTTTTCGCTCTAATAGACCTCAAATTTGAAAACCTCAAAAACCCATTTGACTGCGGAATTGTTGAGAATTGTGATATCAAACACGCATTAGTATAGTCTTGAAAATGCCATCCTCAGACATTAGTCGAGTAAACAAAGCAAATCGAGTAAGAAACACAATTTGAGAGGTCTTCTTATAAGTTTTGTTGCCAGAGCAATGTACACCAAATTTATTGACCACAAGTAATGGAAACTGCTTAACAACACTATTCAAAGTATGCACCATCAGCTTGAACACATTTCTGCTATCTCTCAGATAACAACTCAAAACCGCTTTGTGCATAATTTTCTGAGCTTTCTTTTGATATCAAATTTGTCCATGCTTGTCTCATCATGGCCACTAAACGAAGACTTTATCGCAGTTTGCTGCTTTACGGGTACGAACTGGGACGCGATGTACCCAAGGCTTTCGAGAACATCAACCGTGCAAAGGCATAAGGATTTGTATCCAGGTGAACAGCGTTCTGGGTCTTTGCTGAGTTTTGCGCTTGCAACATCAATTTGAAGGACCAGCTGCGCTCCGGACGAAGTTGATCGAGAGACCATCATCGAAGCAATTAAAGAGGATCAGACTTTGAATGTCAAGGAATTGGCCGACGACTTTGAATAGTATTGCTAGACAATTTTAACTACTTCTGGTTAATGAGTTTGGGGTTTATTGCTCTAGTGCCAAAACTTATGAGAAGACCAAATATTCATGATACAGCGCACAAAGAAAGTCTTTTCAGAAATCAGGTGCAGTTTCGAGATAACCGAGACTTAGGCTTTCGAAAGACCATTACAATTCTAGTTCAAAAAGCTTGCCCAGCTAAGAGAGACCACTAAAAATTGGTCTAGATGACCTTCATCGTACGCAAAGGGTTAAGAGAAAAGAGACATGTCTCCACACCTTGCAAGTTCGGTAAGCATTTTTCAGAGTTGTATTTAGTGAGTTGAAGCTTTCACAGAGGTTATTTTCCCTGTAGTAGTTCACGAGCTCCTGAAGAAGAATGATTTCGAAAAGTATTTTTGTGGTTTTCATCACTGAAACGACAATAAGCGATCATATCCGTGGTATTCGAAGCACAATGATTGCATTTGTAAACAATAATTTATAAATAAAAATGGCTCCGCTGCAAAATAACGCTCACCACTATACTGTTAAACACATATCCCTCATCCAGGTAATAGATAGTGTTATCTCGCTGCTCAACGACTGTGTGCTTCACTTCGTTTTCGTAACTGAAAGTTAACGATTAATACAATTATTAACACTACAGCTAACTAAAGGAGCGCCTGTGGTGCGGTGCTTGAGATGCCGCGCAATGCACACGTGGTCGATAGTTCGACTCCACGCTCACGGCTCATCAAGCCTTTCATCCCTCCGGGTTTGGTGAATTAGCAGTAGAGATATTTGGGAGGATAGCAGCACTGACTTGATACATAAGCATGCCAAGCTAAGAGCCACTGTAAGAGCCAGATATGCGCTCAATCACAATCAACGATGTTTGATAAAATCGAACCCATGGCGCATTTTCTCAGGGAATGATCAACCGCGAACATTTTTACAAATAAGCAGCTCCGACTATCTACAAAGTACTCATCAAAATAACAAACAGACATCAATGACCATACATTTGTGTAGCTACAAAAGATAGCCTATCTCTTCGATAAGGATTCAAGGAATTGGGTGAGAACAGATTATAACTTTTCCACGATATCTCAGAACAGAGAACTACCTAAACACAATGGAGAACGTACTCGAAAACGTGTATATCACCAGGAAGTGGTGGCATTATTGAGAGAAAAACTAGCACTGGTATCCTAAAAGTCGATAAAAAGTATGCTCGCTCAACTAGAACTACAGCTATTACCAACACTACGCACAGTGATGACTATAGTTTTATAGATTACATTAATTCTTTAATTTTACTGTTCTCAGCAGTGTTATATCTAAGAGTATTGAGAGCTATGCAAATTCAACTCAGACGGGAGCTGAACTCACGTTTCACCTACACCGGAGGCGACTGCTACCACAACACCATCGAGTCGAACACTTTGCTACCCTCTTCTTCTTGCTGGATTTAATCCCAATATGTGCTTACCAGTCTAAACCCGTTGAAGATTACTTGCTGACAATACGATAGGTTATATCGAAGCTAGATTGGGTAGCAAAGCGGGTAACCACGGCGGTCTAGTGGTAGTATGTGCTCCCGAAATGTATGAAATGTGAGTTCAACCCTCGCCTGAGATTGAGTGCTTTGCAACATACCACTCAATAATCCTAGATGCATTTATCTATATACTGTATGATGCGATAATGTGAAGAAATGATGAGAATTCGGGTTTGCATGTTGTCACAGAGACTGGCCGGCAATTACGCTCAACAAATCTTGTATTCTTTTCGAGATGTGTTACATCAGCACTGCACAGATATCCACCTTCTCTTTTTCGCAGTACTGTGGATCAAGTCTAATTTTAAATTACTACTGTATGAAAAAAAACCGAAGGTGCCACTAAAAGCATTTGACGTAGATCAATTTGCGGAATGCGCCATGCATTCAACTCCATTCGTGGCATCGATGGAGGTGATTGAATGCATATTCGGGTCTTTAGAATGATCCGCTGGTGGCCTAACAATGCATCAAGACAGTGCCGCGCTCCTCCTCCACAAGTCCAGCACCAGTTAACCGACCACGGATGAGTGGAAGGCTTGGTGAGACTATGAGCGGGCGGTCAGATCATCGACTACATGTGTCTCACAGAGCACTTGTAACCACTGTGCCACACCCTCTGAAATCGAAAGTAGTGGCAGGAAATTGTTTGGCACTAGATCTATTCCACATGAGTTCCAGATGAAATTCCGCTATGTCTCTAGGCTATGAGGCGGAACTCATAAGTATTCTTTCCCATAGCCTTTCAATAAGCAGAAGTGTCGCTATTCCAACGAGCAATAGCATTTTTTGGAGATGGATTGTGTAATGAAAGTGGGGAGGGAGATATCGCTGGAGAACAAATGAATAGTAAAACTCCAAATATGATGTGCCAATAAGAATAGATAATTTTCAACATGGCTCATATTACATGGCTCAGCTCGGTACAAAAGTAAAGGCTGTTCAGGCATTATTGAAATCTGACGTTCTATATCAGAGATAGATTCTTCAGCGAATGTGGGGTGACAAATCAGTTCTAAGGAGGACAAATGGTA